GCGATCTTCGGATCACAAGCCCACCTCTCTAACCTCTGCGCCACCACTCCCCACATATTGTGTTATTAATCTGTTAAATGGCATATAGTTTACGTCCTCATATATATGTTCCAAATATTCTATTCCTTTACACCTCCAACCTGGGAAGTTTATCATATTTTTCTGTTGTAGGATGTCAGGGTTGTTCCAGATGGGTGTACGTCTGCATGGAATTAGTGAAGACTCTGTCATTTTAAGAAACTCCCACCAAGCTGTCAGAGAGGAGCTGATATTGATGCTTTTAAAGCATTCCTGTCGTTTTATGTTTGAGCTAATGAACGGAAGGTCCGAGATCATTATATTATTGCAAAGTGTCTGTTCTACGTCTAGCCAGGGTTCATCAAGGGGTGTGTGTTTTGTCCATCTTGAGATGTATTCTAGCCTGTTGGCTAGAAAGTAATAATAGAAATTGGGTAGCTCTAGTCCTCCTTTATCTTTGGTCTTCTGTAGTGTTTTTAGTTTAATACGTGGGGGTTTATCTTTCCAGAGAAATTTAGAGATGGCGAAGTCCAGGGATCTAAACCTATCAGATGATGGTTTATTTGGAATCATTGAGAATAGATAGTTTATTTTAGGCAAAACTATCATTTTTATTGAAGCAATTCTTCCCATGAGAGACAGGGGTAGAGATTTCCATCTAGCAAGATCATCCTCAATTTTCTTTAAAAGTGGGATGTGGTTTAGTTTTGTTAAATCTGCCAGTCTAAGAGAGACTTTGATACCCAAGTACGTAATATTCCCTGACTGCAGTTGTGTAGTAAGTGAATTGTTGAAATAGCAATTAATTGGTAGAACTGTGGATGAACATGAACCACACTTAACAAATTAAAACAGAAAGGGAAAGCGAAAACTAATTAAGCCCGTTTAACTTTACAAGTTTCGATACATGCATAAATTTTGCCTCACAAACAAGTTTTAGTTACTTCAGTTTTAGTATTACAAACACAGTTGAACCAGGTCAATAAAAACGATGGTTACGTACTGTAACCCCAGATTCTATGAGTATAAGCGTAGCCCTTTAAGGCTGTCGCTTGGTGGGTTTATCCCGTTATGCAGAGCATTAGTACTGAAAAATTTAGTCCACGCCCACCTGCTGTGTGGGCCCTACCCGGTCCGTATAAATTACGTTAAGAGCGGGAAATCGGCTCCCAAAATAGCTTTTTCTTCAGCCATTTAGGAGCCAGTGAGGCCCGACGCTTAAAGGGCTACGCTTATACTCATAGAATCTGGGGTTACAGTACGTAACCAACGTTCTATTTCGTATAAGCTTCGCCCTTTAAGGCTGTCGCTTGGTGCGTTAAGGGCGAAGCAGATGTGGTCCTCACCTCACTGGGTCCATTCGAACACGGTATGAAGCAGAAGCTTGCCCAAAAAACGTCTTGTCACTCAGCTCCCTATGTGCGTAATTACGCATTGCGTAATTATGTGAGTCATGCACAGACGCATGTTGTGTAACTATGCGTTCATGGCTGAGCAGTATAGACAGATTAATAATAACAAATGACTGATTATTAATCAAATGAACTGATTGGTAACAATAGTCATGAACTGATTAGTGACAATAGAACCAAAATAACAGACACAACTTGTGACTGATAACATCTCACACTATGAAGCATGCAGAAGCATGCAGACAGATGTGAGCTTAAACAGAGTTCCATGAAAACAACAATATTCATTCTGTTAGAGCACTAAGGACAGAATGTGTCATGGAACGGGCCGTCACATCACGTAGATAAGAGCGAATGAATGAGCAGGGTGTTGACCACGCGGCCGCAGTGCAAAAGTCCTGCATTGTCATACCATTATGCAAGACAGTCTAAGATGCGATACCCCTGGTCGAGTGAGCCCTGAGGTTGACAGGAGGCTCTAAAACTGATGCTCTGTAGGCTTCAGAAAGAGGCCTCACACAGTCAGTGTGACAAGCGCTGGGTGGATAACGGACAACCTGCAGGTAAATCTCTATAATGCACAAACAAATGTTGAGTTTGGCGCATTACAGCCGTGCGCACTATGTAACACGTCAATGCCCGCACCGGACAGAGAAGATGGCAAGATGCTTCTTCTTCTGATCTGTGGGGGGGAGGGAAAACCCCTCCAACGATATCGCTCTTGATTTAAAAGAGCTTGTGATGGTTTTAGGCATAAAGGCTGGGTTTGGTCTTAAATCAGCTGAGCTGCCCGTCAGCCTGAATTCTAAGACATGACGGAGCGACAGAGAGGGCAGATGAAACACTCACCCTCTTAGCGGATGTTAAAGCCAGCAGCAGGACTGTTTTAAGAGACAAGAATTTAATTTGAACCTGATCCAGAGGCTCAAATGGAGCTTTGATCAGGGCTCGCAGGACCAGCGTTAAATCCCACTGTGGCACAAGTGGGCGTGAAACAGGCCTGCGTCTCTGTACGCCTTTTAGAAACCGCTTCATCAGCGGGTGATTAAAAGCTAGTCTGTCTCCGAACCCTTAATGGCAAGAAGAGATGGCTGCAGCGTACGTTTTAATCGTGCTGAAATGCCAACTTCCTGTCCATCAGCTGTGTAGAAAAGACAGCACGCCGCCTAATGGACATGAGGTGGCCTCTACACCTTTCTCTGTACACCAGCGCTGAAAAACTGTCCACTTTGATGTGTACAGCGCTGTGGTAGATGCAGCACATGAATCCTGGATTGTGCGCACTACCTCCTGTGGGAGACCCGTCCTCTCTAAGCGGAACCGTTCAGTGGTCGGACCCACAGGTGCTGGCCTATTTCTGGGTAACTCCTGATCGCTCCTCCTGCCTGGAGGAGAGCGTCCTCCCTTCATGGCAGTTTCCACAGGCGCCCCGACAGCAGGCGTTGTAGGGCTGAGAACCATGGTGTGTTCACGCGCTCGGGGGCCACCAGGAGAGCTGTCAATCCCTCCTCCTGAACTCAGTTCAGGAACCGTAAAATCAGAGGAGGTGGAGGAAAACGCGTGCAGAAGCGTTTTGGACCATGGGCTGTGGGCAAATGCATCCACCCCCAGCGGTGGTTCGTCTCGCGGTCTCAGGGAAAACCATAGTTGACACTGAGCGTTCTCTCGTATCGCAAACAAGTCCACAGCTGCTTTGCCAAATTTCTGTCACGTCTAAGCCATCAGGTCTGGATGGAGAGTCCAGTCCCCGTGACGTGGGCCGCCCCTGGACATCACATCTGCCCCTTTGTTCAGAACACCGGGTATGTAAACTGCTCTGATGGAGAGCAGATTTTGGTGAGCCCAACACAGAAGCTTTCGCGCAATGTGTAACATCTGGGCTGAGCGCATACCCCCCTGCTGGTTTATGTACGCAGCAGTCACCTTGTTGTCTGTGTGAATCAACACATGTTGATTCTGTAGCACGGGAGCCAAGGGCTGAATCACATTCAGCACTGTGAAACACTCCAAAACATTTATGTGGGCTGATGTGTGATGGGGCCACAGCGCCCCTACTGCTTGAGATAGGCATGT